TTTGCAATGCATACCCCCAAAGAGATGTTGGAAGAGACGTGGAATTCATCATGGACCTAACCATTTCTAACAAGGTTCTATTTCTCCTTTCAGAGACACCATTCAATTGAGGTGTTCTTGGAGGAGTCCATTGTGACTGAATTCCCTGACCTTTTAAGTAATCGAGAAACTCCTTACTCAAGTATTCCCCTCCACGATCAGATCGTAGAGTCTTGATACTCTTGTCAAGTTGCTTCTCTACTTCAGCCTTATACTCCATGAATTTCTCAAAAGCTTCTGATTTGTGTTTCATAAGATACACCAATCCAAACCTAGAGAAATCGTCAGTAAACGTGATGAAGTAAGAAAAACCTCCTCTAGCTTGAGTTGGGAATGGTCCACACACATCTGTGTGAACCAATTCAAGCACTTCTTTGGCCCGTAGTCCTTTTCCAAGAAAAGGTTTACTCGTCATTTTAGCTGAGAGACACGAATCGCAATTGCCATATGATTCAAAATCAAATGACGTTAAGTAATTTAATTTACTTAGCCTTGCTATTCTGGCTTCATTAATATGACCAAGCCTACAATGCCAAAGATATGTGGTATTTTTCAGATTACTTAACCTTGGTCTTTTATTTTGTACATTTAATATGTCATGTCTACAATTAAGAACATATAAACCATTCATAAGAGGAGCATTTCCATACACAATACCATTTTGTGAAAAACAACAAGTGTTATTAGCAAAATGAAAAGAAAAACCCTCAATGTCTAACATAGGAATGGAAATTATGTTCTTTGTTATAGAAGGAACAAAATAACAATTATTTAGTTCTAATCTATAACCACTGGGTAAATCTAATATATAAGTCCCTACACGTTCAGCAGCAACTTTTGCTCCATTTCCTACACGTAGGTCAATCTCACCCAGCCTAACTGCTCTACTGTCATTTAGGCCTTGCACACTATTGCAAATGTGTGAGCCACAAGCCGTATCTAATACCCAACAGTGAGAGTTAGTTGTAAACATATTAATATCAATGACAAAAATGCCTAAGCTAGAAGCACTCGATGCTTTGGCTAGATTAGTCCTGTATATCTCACAATCTCTCTTCCCATGTCCTATCTCTTTGCAGTAGAGACATACATCATTTGGTACCTCAGCAATGTGATTCTTCTGAATGTCCTTGTCAAACATGGCTAATTCAAAGGAGCTAACATCAAGGATCTCGGGTACACATGTATCAAATACATGTTCGATAATTTCTTGCCTAAGAACGAAACGCATATTTTGTTCCAAGTCTAGAAAGTTTGGTTCAATCAGATTATTTGTATCCAAGATACTTCTCAATGATGAATTCGACATACCTAAAAGCCTAAAGAAGTTCAAATAGAACGGAATTAAAACCATATATTAATTCCTATGATCACATCTAGTTAACTAAATAATATGGACTTTTAATTATTTAGCTCCCACTATTTTTACATGCTCTTTGACCCCAATAAAAGGAACATGGAATGTTTTACAATCATAGTGGCCAAAATCCTCATTCATACTATTACAGTCTCAGCTTGGGCTGATCACTGCAATAATATAATGGGTAGGTCCCTAGACCAATTACGTCCAAGCAACTTTTGGTTGATCAATTTTTAAATTGATCGACATCCCTAAATTAACACTGACGCTTGGGCGACTCGAGCTAATTTAAGTAAATCAAAACCATCACACGATCACAAACATATGTATCTATAAATTAGTTTTATATTTTGTCGAATGGAATAAACACTTGGGTGAAATACTCTTCATCGAAAAAATATTTCTACCAATTTAATTATGATGGGTGATGTCGTTATCCTAGATAAGATTTAAATTATAATTTATGGGGAACATTTAGCGGGGTATTAAATCATTTTATTTAATCAAGATGCTAAAACATATTATCAAATAATATGTTAACGAGATCTAACTCAGACCGATAAATTTAAAGCATGCATTATAAATCGAATTTATAAACGGATACAATTAACGATTAAAGTAAAATCATGCTAAAAAAAAATTCAACCGGTAAATTATAATCTGAAATTAATAATTCCCTTAATCTCTAAGATTGTTAATTAATCTAATTAAAAGGAGATTAATATAATACTTCACTACGTACAAAAAGAATCAAGTTACTTTTGTATTAGGACTTTCACATCCTAATCAAATTAGAGTCCAACTCGGAAGAGTTTTAACTAAAACACAATTACTTAGATCAAGCAATTCTACTCCGTATTAGACACTTCAAAACAATTGTAAGGAAGGTTCCCAAAGTATGTTGAATTTGGTCTTAAACAAACAATTTGGAAAGAAGGTCTCACTAACTAATCGCACAACCCACTGCTGCAGCGTTCATCAACCACAACATTGGAAATTTTAGTTCATAAGTCGTTGATTTTCCTTAGCCGGTCTTCAAAATCGAATCAGGACTAATGCCAACATATCGGAAGAGAAAAGAAAAAAAACATTCTTTTATCTAGGTGATCTGTTAGCAGTTAGTACTTAGATTTTAACTCCAAAATTAAAAATCAATTACGTAACAAATCATGTGCACATACAGTTCTCAAATTGTTCTAGATCTAATCAAATTTTAAAAACGATTTCGGCTAGAATACTATGTCTAGAAACACTTATTTTGATCCACACCGAAAAATAATCAACCAAAATTCGTATAATGTCATTAAAATCAGTTTGGCTCTGATACCACTGATAGGAAATTGATGTAACGTACCTCGAAAGTACGGCAGCGGAAATTTAAAATTTTCCCAAACAGATCTTTCCTGATTATGACAAAATAACGAATATGATAATTATAACAGATCTGAGTTAGAACTTACAGATCTTCCAGCCTAGCGGTGATAATCCTTGACCTTAGGTATCCACGTGATTTCTTCTCTCCGAAAGAACGATTAGATCTCCCTAAGAGAAAGGCTAGGAAATCTCTTTGCGGGAAAATAAACTGGTAATACTGAATCTAAAAACTGGTCTACAAATTATGAAGGAGAAAGATGTATTTATACTAGTTCGAAACTAGTTTTCCAATCACAATGAAAGTCTTTCTAATTAATGAGTTCTAATCCTACTAGGACCAATACTCCTAATTAATTAAATAAGTAGATAAAATAAAACAAAATAATAATAATAATAATAATTGAAATGTGGCTGCACGCCACTTTCTAATTATTATATATTAATATTTATTTTATTTACTTTTCTTTTAATTCCAAATTACAAAAGAAAATATCTACTTTATTTAATAATAAATACATCTTATTTAAGTATGATAAATCTAATTTATCTTACTTAATTAATTCTATCAAATAGAACTCTCCTTCAGCTTCATGAATTAAATATGTTTAATCTAATTAATATTTAATTCATTTTCAGTATGACGAATTAAATATTATTTAATCCAATTAATAATATTTAATTCCTTCTAACAATTCAATCGGAAGGTATAATCACTTGTTGTGTGACCCATAGGGCCTTATATATTAAGCACTAATCAAATTAAGGTCTTAGCGAATCCCTAGACGATTCTCCAGACAAACTTAATATATAAGGACCTTTGCGAGGACTATACAAACTCCCTGTAATATAGAGCTCATAGTGATACAGTCCTTTCATTCAGCGAACATTCAACTAAGTCTAGAACATGATATAGTGTCTATCCCAATAACTCAGTCTCTGTTTCTCAATCTTTCTAGATGATCCATAACGATCATATTCGATATCCAAAACGAATATATCTTTGCATTGGCCAATGACTTTATGATCCATCTAGATATGAGAAGTAGAATGTTCTCTCTTAATCTATTATGAGGAATGAATCCTTTCTTGGCTCAACTACTACTTCATGTGCTTCGTGATGCACCCAACACATGCCGTATCTACCCCGATTGGAGTGCAAGCGTTGGTCATGGTCAAAGTACATCACTCCGCACATGTAGTACGTATTGACCTCAAGTCGGAGGACTATTACACTACTCTATACGCCGATAATCCCATAGACACATGAATAGAACTTATCAAATGGTTTCTCGGTGGGTATGCCAATATTCTCTAAAATATCTATGTGACCATCATGAATTACAGGAACTCATAGTCGTGAGATCAACTATACTTTCTAAAAGTATGATGCAGTCCACATACCAATCTTATCGCATATCATCAATATCCCATTCTTGATGATCATTGATTGGGGCTATTTTAGGACCTTATGTTATATCATATAAGCTCTCACTTACTTATTGACAACATAAATCCAAGGGAACACAATTATGAATAAAACATTGACAATCGAAAACAATCATTCATAAAGTGTAATACCGTGTATATATCAAATATAAAAACTAAATGTGATCAAGTACATATGTCTTTAAAGAAATGATTGTCGCTAGGACATATATCCAAGGGAACACAATTATAAAGCTCTCACTTACTTATTGACAACATAAATCCAAGGGAACACAATTATGAATAAAACATTGACAATCGAAAACAATCATTCATAAAGTGTAATACCGTGTATATATCAAATATAAAAACTAAATGTGATCAAGTACATATGTCTTTAAAGAAATGATTGTCGCTAGTACATTGTCGCTAGCGAATTCCCGCTCCGACAGAGGAAGCTTGGCCTGCTCTTCTGGATCCTTCATCAGCTTTGGCAGCTTCAAGTTCCGTCTAGCCCACCCGGATGTGTAATTCATGGCCTTCAGAGCACGAGACAGCCGTCGACACAGGAGCCTCTGCATCCGCTCCTGGCCCATGTTATAATAAACGGCCATCTCCCTACTGAAATACTCCTGGCCGACGGGGGAGTTCATCCCCCAATTTTCAATCCTGGCGGCCACCACCTCATAGCACCAGGGAAGCCTCTCATCGGCCTTCCACCCCTCGGCCAGGAACTTCTCAACGGCCTCATCAGCAGCCTTCACAGCGGCGGCCTCGGCCTCAGCTTTCGCCTTCACGGCTTCCTCGTTCTTGCGCCGCTCGGCCTCCAGCGCCCTTTGGCTCTCCTCGAGCTTGGCCAGGGCATCGTCCCTGGCTGCAGCGGCTTCATCGGCCCTTTGCTGCAAAGCCTTGGCATCCTCCCGGAGCCGATCCAGGCAAGCTACCGCCTCGTCGGCCGAGGCAGCCTTCTGCTCCAGCTCCTTCAAACGAGCTATCTCCCGGTACTGCCTCTTATGGCTCTCCATGAGCATAAAGGCACTCTACAAAAAAAGAGAGGGCAAATCAAGACTCAGACAACTAACTCTACATGGACGACGAGAAAATTACACATTACAAAGCAGAGAACTTACTTGGACAAGGAGGTCCATGCCACCCTCGTACACCTTCACGTCCCCGAGCTTCTTGAGGTAAGCCCGGTCTTTGGCTGGCATGGCCTGTGCCAGCACATCGTGGCCGAGGACGGCATCGTCAAACACACCCCCGCCGACGGGGTATTCCACCACCTTCTGGTAGGTGGCAGCGGCGACCTCCTTGCCAACCCTCCTCGTCCGTGGCTCTTGGACGATAGGGAGCGATTGGGCGGCATCACTTGGAGCAGCAGTAAGGTCCACGAGGGGACCACTATCGTCCACGCTCGGGACAGTCAGAGTACCGGCCTCGGTAGCCGGGGAAGGAGACGGTGCCCTCTTCGTCTTCTTGGCGACGTTCAGGCCGACTTCAGTTAATTTTTTCTGGCCGTCAGTGGCCGGCCTCTTCTTCTTCGATTGGGCAGGCTTTGGGGCCGCACCAGCAGTAGCCCCGCCTCCCTCGGCCGCGGCACGTCTGGCCGCCTCGGCCGCCTTTGCGGCCAACTCCTCGGCCGCCTTGGCCTTTGCTATAGCCATGATGGAGCGACGGTCCATGACAAAATCTACAAAGGAAAAACACAACAGATTAGTAAGGCAAAAGAACAAAGCATAAAGACAGAAAGCCGAAGAAATAATTACCATCGGCCTCAGCAGGAATGCCCAAGTCCGGGCCATCGGCCTCTTCGAAGGTGGTGGTCATCCTCGGCCAGAGTTGGATGTCATCCTCCTTATCGCCATACATATGGTATCTCAAGAAGCTGAGGGTGGTCATCTTGTATTCCGTGATGTAATCCTTCACGCTCCTCGGCCCCCCTTCCAAGAAAGCCTCCACCTGAGCATCCAAGATAGAGCTCTTCGGCGGGTCATGCAAATTAAACCTCCCGGTATGGCCGAGAGAGGGAAACTCGGTGCCACTCTCACCAAGGGACACAAAAACGAACTTGCTCTTCCACCCATGAATGGACGTAGGCAAGTCCGTGAAGCTCCTCTTCTTCGGCAGCTGTTGAAGAGTAGCATAGGCCGCACAGTTTTTGTGGCTTCCTCGGCCGATCTGATACAGATTCATGAAAAGGGCCGTCGTCGGCCTGTAGCCCAACTCCTCACAGCGGAGCAAAAACCCCACCATCAAAGAATAGTTGTTCGGCGTCAGCAAGGCCGGAGGGAGCCCTACCATATCCAGGTATTCAGTGATGAAGGGGTGAAGGGGGAACCTCAGCCCCTTGGCAAAACTCATCGGGTATACTCCAAAGTATCCCGGTGGCGGAAGCAGAACATGGTCCGTCGGCCTGGGTGCCCTAACCCGCCCGTACGGCCCCACGTACATCTGGGCAACAAGGTAGTCGGCCGCGCTGCTCTCCGGCTTGATCAAGAAGATGTTTGTGAGATCCAGGTAAGAGATGCCCGGCCCGCTCTTCGGCCTCCTCACTCTTTTCGGCTTGCCGGCTCCCTTAACGGCGGACACCGGCCTCGGGCACGGAATAACAGCTGAAGTGGATGCCCCGTCCACCACTCGTGACGCAGCTGCGTCCTCACCTTTTGAAGATGAGGCGGACTCCTCGTCCTCGACCTCGTCGTCCACCGGCTCTTCGGATTTGTAGGGACTTAAATGCTGTATCTCCTCCTCGAGCACCTCATAGTCGAGTGACCTAGTGGAGGGCTGGTCGTCGTACGGATAGTAGTCCTCGTTCAAGCTCTTCATCATAACTACTACTACGAGCCTAGGGAGATTAACTTAGGATCTAAGGGTGTTCAAACGCCTAACACTAGATCACTAGCCTAGGAAGCAAAGTATGAAAAATGCAGAAGATTGCGATGAACACTAACCTTGTTCTTTCGTACAAGCGCAAATAGGCTAGAATTAAATCAACAAACAAGGAAACGAGATTTAAAACTAATCCAGACAGAAATATTCCCAATTTCGGACAACAAGTATCGAAACAAATATTCTTAACCGGAGAGTTTATCCACGAATCAATCAACAGAAAAAATCAAAAATAAAAAATCCAACACGTGATTAAATTTAAACCGGAAGAAATATTCACAATTTTGGACAACGAGTATCCAAACAAAATATTCTTCACTGAAAAAAATTAATCACAAACCAACAAGTAATCACAATTTAAACAAACAAGTAATTGCAATTTAAACTTGAATTTAAAATGAATGAACTACGAATAAATAATCACACAAAGGATTAGTAAACGTACCTGGGGCCGGGCACAACCGGCATCCAAGACCACGCAGGTCAGCAGCGGGGGAGCGAGGGGAAATAAATCTGGTGGCACTCCGGTACACCAAGGGTGGTTATCGCCAATTTACCTGAGCGGGGCCCGAGGTTGGGTTACCCAACTTACCGTAGGCAGCGTGGGCTGCTGTAGAGCACGGCGGCAGCGGACTGGACGGTGGCAGCACTCCCTGGAAGGCGGCAGCAGCAGGACCGAGGCTGGCAGCAGCTTTCCTGAGGCGGCAGAAGCTCTGGACGGCGCTTGAACTCTTCTGGACCGGTGGCAGGCGACTCCAGACGGCGGCGAGGCGGCGGCAAGGCGACGACAGGCGACGGCAAGGCGGCGACAGACCTCCAATGGCTCTGATACCACTGCAAGAACTCGAATCCAGCTCAGGTCTCACTTCTTTGACACCCACAAATGATGAATTCAAACCACTAGGTCTCAAAGGAAAGAAATGGGCGTCAACCTTCAATGTATTTTCAGCCAACTCAACTAAGGCTCCACAAAGGTGCTATTTAGGAAGAAGGGTTTCGGCCGAGCTATATCATCGACAGAGAACGAGAGAGAATAAATAGGCAGAGTAATGATAATAAGGATGATAACTTACCTTACAAAGGAGATACGCACATTACTGCCCAGAGAAAGGAAAGTGTCGCGAGAGGGAAGAAGTCGATCGTCAAAGATCAGAATAGCGTAGTGCGGAAGAGAAGAAAGAGCAAGGGCCGGGTGTATCCTAAGTTGAGTTGGGCTTACGAAAATAATGGGCCAATACCTAACAAACTCATTCACCCAATTTAAGTGTGAATAGAGCTTTCATATAAATCTCCCATATAAATAAGCAGCTAGCCTGAAATGGAGAAGCAAAATAGGGTGAGGTGCATATATCTTATCTATTCAGTAGAGAGACTCAAACAATGAGAGAAAATGAGAAAATAGTGCTGCACTGTTTAGTTGTTCCATTTCCAACCCAAGGACACATAAACCCAATGATCCAATTCTCCAAACGCTTACAACACGAAGCAGCCATTAAAATCACACTCGCCCCAACCCTATTCATATTCAATCAAACCATGAAACACCAAATCCCCTCCACCACTACTTCCTCCCCTTTCACCATTCACCCCATCTCAGACGGTTATGATGAAGGTGGCTTTGCTTCAGCTGAAAACTTTGAGCATTACTTAGAAACCTTCAAGAAAGTGGGCTCAAGAACTATAACAGAGCTAATTCAGGAGCAAAAGAGCAAAGGGTCACCTGTGGATTGCATCATTTATGACGCTTTCATGCCTTGGGTTCTTGATGTTGCCAAGAACCTTTCTTTATTTGGGGCAGTGTTCTTCACAATGTCTTGTGCAGTGGGAAACATCTGCTACCATGTTAACAGTGGCTTGCTTGACCTTCCATTGAAGAAAAAAGAGGATGATGATGATGATGGCATATTGCTGCAGCTGCCTGGGTTGGCTCCACTTATGGCCACAGATTTTCCATCTTTCATTTCTGATTTTGGGTCTTATCCACCTTTCTTGAAAATGCTTGTGGATCAGTTCTCTAATGTCAAGTCTGCAGACTGGATCTTCTGCAATACCATCTATGAACTGGAGCAAAGGGTTAGTTTGTATTTCGTACCTTGTAGTAGTCTCTTAATTTACCTTTCTCGAAAAGTTATGCTTTTTGTTAAGTTTTAGGCCATTTTCACATTTGATTCTTCATTTTCCTCTTTATGATGACAATGCACGGAAATCGGCCGGCAAAAAGATGGGTAGGATTAGAAGTGTCAAGAGATTTATAGTTTTGCATCAAAAATGAAAAATTTGATAGTAAAGGATGAAATGAAAACAAATTGATGAAAAACATTTACTTGATTCTCTCTGTTAGTTTTCAAATGCTATGTGGTTATCTTTATCTTCAACCTTTCATTTTTTGTCTTTTCCAAAATAATTTTCACTTTCATTTTATTGAAAAAATTCGTTTTCAACGATTTATCTATCTTCTGCACAACTTTACACCACACAATATTTCACCTTTTTAATCTATGTTCAAAATTTATTTGGAAGATTATATTGTCCAAAGTTATGGCTATCTCTATATCATTTGTTTTTTTGTTAGTTGTTCAAACAAATTTTTTTGGTGTCATAATTCTTTCGAAATAATTTCACTTTTGATCCTATAAGTTTTATGTTCCATATTTAGTTCATGTCTTTCATTTTCTTCAATTTTGATACTTGACTAGTGTTTTTTGATCTTTTATGGTCCTTCTCCGGCGGTTTTAACTACCGGAAACATTGCTGTAAGATCATACAACAACAACATCAAGCCTTAGTCCCAAAAGATATTAGGGTCGGCTATTCATATTTCGATTCATCTCATGTGATGTGACTAGGTGATACTGTTGGCCGTCACACGCCTATCACAACACCCTCCTCCTTTATCCTGACTTGAGACATACCAAAAAATGATATTATGGCGGAGTTTTTGCAAAAACACAATAGTCATATATCAAAAGTGCACAAAATGTGAGATGTGAACCAATTGAGGAATTGACCTAAAACTCATAGGATCAAAAATGAAATTTTTTCTAATTCCTTCAAACTGATCTGTTTGGCAAATAGTGACTAGAAATAGCCAAATAGGCAATGAAAATGAAATTTTATTAATATGTGGTCCAGCCTTGTAAAATATGAATCACAATCAATATTTGATTAGACCTTCATATCTATTTAGAACTTTTCGTCTTTATATAATCTAGTATGCAAAGTATGTATTTACTTGAAATTAGTTTGAACAAATGTTCAAAACTGATTTACTTAGAGCTCATTTGGAGATGGCTTTTCTATTGATATGTTAGACTTTGGTGAACTCTCTAAAAATAGAAAAGCTTTGGGTACGTATTCTGTTTTTTCTGCTCATCATGACCAATAAGACATATTTGGCTACCAAACAAACAACTTATTTGTTTGAAGTATTTCTTTCCTTCCAAACTTCTATACTTTCCTCATTTTTTCTCCCTAGCATTGTCGGAATTCCAAAGGGACCCTAAAATATGTGTATCTTTTTTGGATAGGAAGTTGAATGGATGAGAAAGCAATTGCCATTGAAGGCAATTGGTCCAACCATACCTTCAATGTATGTTGACAAGAGGCTTGAGAATGACAAAACATATGGTCTTAGCATATACCAGCCAAGAACTGACGTGTGCATGAAATGGCTAAATGAACGCTCCGAAGGCTCAGTCATCTATGTGTCCTTCGGGAGCATGGCGGAGCTAAAGGAGGAGCAAATGGAGGAGTTAGCATTAGGACTAAAGAAAAGCAACCACTACTACATGTGGGTAATCAGAGCATCAGAAGAATCAAAACTTCCAAGAGACTTCTCTGCGGAGAAGGGGTTGATAGTGACGTGGTCCCCACAACTAGACGTTTTGTCACACAAGGCGGTCGGTTGCTTCGTGACACATTGTGGCTGGAACTCAACTCTGGAAGCGTTGACACTAGGTGTGGCTATGGTGGCCATTCCGGTGTGGACCGACCAAGGAACTAATGCTAAGTATGTGAGTGATGTTTGGGAAATAGGAATCAGGGCTAAGAAGGATGATAGGGGGATTGTGGTGAAAGGTGAGGTGGAGAGGTGTGTGAGAGAAGTGATGGAAGGAGGAAAGGGTAAAGAGATTAGAAGAAATGCTGCCAATTGGAAAGGGATCATTAGAAAGGCTATTAATGAAAATGGAAGTTCTGATTTGAATATCAAGGAGTTCATTGCTGAATTGTCTCAATCTAAGTTGGAGAAGTTAGCACATTAATGCTCCAACCTCTACTCCAAATGATCATTTGTTTAGGAGAGACATACATGACTTCCCTTAAAGAAATCTAGCCCAAATGAATAGCTACTTTGCTTTCTACCTCTAGTATATGTAATAATACATTTGGAAATGTTATCCACCCACTCTATTTCAACTATGTGTAATCTTACATTCATCCTAAAATGATGATCCCACTTTTTTGTAAAATCTATCTTTAATACTCTGTGATATTAATAAAGTTCACGGGTATAGTTATAATGATTTCAAAAATACATATTACTAAAATTGTTCAAGGGTATTTTTGTGCCATGATTTAATGCTCTGCATATGTTTTTATAAGTGACTTTTAAAGACAACAATTTTCACTCTAAATACAGTGAAGTTCTAATTTGAGGGAGAGCAAAGATAAAAAAAATGTTATCCTTAGAATGTTTTTAAAACATGCATATCGGAATTCCAACATGTGAGTTTAATGTAATATTATACTTTTGAACATGTATTGATATACAAATCATAAGGGCTAGTTGAGCATCGAAACATTAAACATTTCTACTTATCAGCATCAAGCCTCATCTATTGAGTATATGAATTTTTCACTTTTCTATTCAGTATGGAAATTTCAAAAACCATTGAGCATTCGAAATATTTTTCATTGGATATTGTATTCTGCAATATTGAACATTAATATTATATAATTTTGAAATACGAATCAATAAGAAAATCATAAAAAAATTCATTGAGCATCAAGCCTCCTATATCGCGACTCTACTCTCATGTCTTCTTGACTTTTGTAGTTACTATAAATTATATATCCACAATAAGAAAATTTCAAAACATAAATTACATTTTTCTGTTTGATTGTGCTATGTGTTGGTGTGAACTCGGAAAACGAAGAAAATAAATTAAATAAATTAATCAAAATAGCAAAAGAAAAACAGAAATAAGATGGAACAGAAAATAGCCAACACAAATATTCTTTGCTCTCTCCCCTCAAAATAATCATGATCTCTAATAATCAATTTTTTCTATGATGCTTACCATTTAAATACTACTATGTAATTAATTTTAAAATAATTTCAAAATTCATTTATGTCTCTAAATCATCATCTTCATATAATCTGCTTTTTCTTTGTCCTGCATTAATCTCTATTACATATACTTTTCAAATAATCTTAAAATAATATGGATTCATATTTTGATCCCAGATTATTGTAACAAATTTTCTCATTATATAATCTATGTCACTCAATGATAACTTTTAAAAAAAACTATCATGCCACCAATTTAATCTAGGGGTGAGCAAAAGACCCGGTCCCGTTGGTCTGTTCCGGTTCCGTTCTGAAATTGTCCCGTTTAACTCGGGACAAACTATTTTTGTCCCGTTCCGGTCCCGAACCATTTCAAAACAAAACGGGACTGAGACAAATAAAATGCCCTGTTCCGTCCCGTTGTCCCGAATTAAAAAATGTATATAGTTGTGGGTTAGTGAGTATACCATCAATTCAAATACTAATGAATATTAATTAGGTATTAGTTATCTAATATGTAAAACCCTAAAGGATTCTAAATTATCAAGTACATGAACTATCTTCTACATACTAAAAGGAAACTCATGTATACTCCACATGTTTCACTTCTAATAATATTGTTTGTCTTTTTTTATCTTTGCAGTTTCTTAGTAGTATTGTGTGTGTTGGAGTTATTGTTGTTGTTACGGTTTGTGTTGGTCCAAAATAGGACGCTCGTAGGCTTTTAGGACACTCAAACAGGAATCAAGAAAATAATACGAATAAGGAAAGTTGCAAAGAAGATTTGGTAGCCAGAAATAGCATATCTCATTTGAAATTCGGACTTGCCTTTTATAGGTGATTTACAAATAGTAACTGTCAAAGATACTAATGCCTAATTAATTACAACATTAATACAGAATTAAACACATAATTAATAGCGCATTGATTGTTGACCGTTACTCTTCCTGGCTGGTTGGCAGATCAGCCTGGCTAGCAGGCAAAACGCTTGAGCTCCTCGGGCGGCAGGCTTCCGGTTGGACCGGCAGGCAGGCTCCCCGTTGGGCTGGAAGGCAGGCTCTCCGCTGGGCTAGAGGACAGGCTCCTCGCTAGTCCGAAAGGCAGGCCCCCGGTTGGGCGGGTAGGCAGGCTCTCCGCTGGGCTGGAAGGCAGGCTCCCTCTGGTCGGGCTGGAAGGCAGACTCCCCCGTTGGCCGGTCTGGAAGGCAGGCTCCCCGCTGGGCTGGTTGACAGGCTCTCTTGGGCTTCCGCTCCTTGATTGGCCTGATCGGTTGGGCCGACTCGAGCTCTGGGTTTCTGGGCTTGGGCTTGCTGGTCCAAGTTCGAGGCCTGGGCTGATTAGGCTCTGGGCCTAGTCCCATAACCCCATCAGTTTGTTTCGTGCAACTATCCTATTAATCTACTATTTTTTGTGTTGCATTTATCGTAAAATTTTTTATATGTTGCATTTTTAGTGTAGTAGTTTGATGTCATGAAGTTTATTTTGGAGCTGTATTTTTTTCGTTACAATTTTTTGGGATGTCCCGAACCGTCACGTTCTGTTCCGGTATCAGTTTAAAAGGGATAGTAGCAGGACAATGTCTTATCCCGTCCCGTTCTGTCCCGTTATCCTAAATAGGGTTCGATACCGGGATAGTCTAATTCTCGTCCCATCCCGTGCCCACCCCTAATTTAATCTCATAATAATCCTACAAATGAGGATGCCCTTATAACTAATAAGCAGCCTAACATAAATTTTTTGAAAAGCGAATACTCCGTAGGTTACCTTATTTATCCCCTTTCTACTTCCTAAATCCTATCCAAAAAAAGATCTTAACCAAAACTGAAAATAAAATACTTCGTACAAGAATGTTTTTACTTGGACTATTTTCAATCTCAGATCATATCAGAATTAAACAGATCAACCCAGATCAGATCAGACTTAAACAGCTCAGATCAGAACAGACTTCCGTAGTTATAAAATACACAAAGACTAGACATTTAGCAGACCAGACCAGTTCAGACGAGAAAAAACCAGACATAAACAGACCAGATCAGGCTAGACTAGTAAATTACAGTCCAAGTAAAAACATTCTAATATAGCATCTGCTCAGCGGGCTGATGAACAGACTTAACCGCCCAAGTGCCAAAATACCGGTTCAGAAACCGATTCTTCATAAACCGGCAAGCTTGCAACCAATTAGGATGTTTTTACTTGGACTGTTTTCAATCTCAGATCGGACCAGACCAGACTTAAAAAGATCAGACCAAACTAGATCAGATTTAAAAGACCATATCAGACTTAAACAAATCATACATGACTAGACTTGATTTTCGTAGTTATGAAATACAAAAAGACCAGAGATTTACCAAACCATACCAGACCAGTTCAAACCAAACCAGATTTAAACAGATAAAATCAGATCAGACCAAATTTAACAGACCAGACCAGCCAGACTTAAACAGATAAAATCTGACCAGACCAGATTTAACAGATAAAATCCTTACAAGCCCTAGCTCTTTTTGGCCTTCATCGCCGGCAGTTGAACGGTGGAGGAAGCAAACAATGGGATTTCAGATGCTGAAACAACCCATATGCACCTTTTGCGCATTCAGCTCGAGAAATAGCAGCTTTAATTCCTTCTCCAAATCAAAATTAGTTCCTCGGATCTCAGGTGCGTACTTCAATTACTTTATCCTTGTCAATAATGCGAAGGAAGTTAAGAGAATGATTTATCTGATCTTGGTCTCTTTGATGTCTACTTTCTAAGGTAAATTTATTGGAATAAATGTTTCCATGATTCAGGGATTTGCTTCTGCAACATCTGCAAAGGGTCAGAAAAAGTAACTACACTGTTTTAAATGGAAATGTTTGCTACTCTGTAGATTATAATGAACTTTCATCGTTAGGGAGTTTGTGTATGAAAACTAAATGGTTGTTTTTACAGGAAGAAGAGACTAGATGAAATATGCCTCGAGAGATACCAACAATATAGTCGAACATTTATACAATCTTGGATTCTGCAAGGTAGACGTTGCACACTATTCATTCACTGGTGTATTCTCAGGCGGCTACATTTTTTATAGTATCCCGCTATAAGTGATTCTTACAACTACGAATCTATAGTATCCCGCCAACTCCCTTGCAACTCCAATGCACAAGCCCTCAAAACTTTCTATAGCATCCTGCTATAAGTGATCTTTTATAGTAGCCCGCTATAAGTGATTCTTACAACTGCCAATTTGTAAATTTTCATTCTCATTGCTATGAACAAAGTTACAATTTGAGGTTTTTCCTCTCACCCTGCAGGGAAGGTGCTTGTGGATGGTAAAGTTGTAAACAAAGCAGGAACCCCAATCCCTGACAAAGCTACTGTGGAGATCATAGCTGAAGTTCCAAAATATGTATGTAGGTGAATATGTACTGATTTTCATCTTCCTTTGTTCATAAACAACATCTCTTCAGATTCTGGAGTAGGTAAAAAAACATGTTACGTTATGTACCTTTGCATTATAGCTTTATGCTATTCTTTTACATTTGATGATACTTTAGCTTATTTAGTGTTTCATTGTTTGGAGTTTGGACAATGTTAAGTTTTTTATTTTTATATTTTGGAATGGTATACATCAACTAGTAGTTTGGTCAGAATGCCACATGAAGGATTTTACTAATGTGTTACATCAGCTAAAGCCTAAAACTTAAAAAAATATGTAGTACTTCACTACTTCAGTGTAACAGTGTTATTTCTTGACTTGCTGGGTGCTAGCTACATATAGAAAGTAAAGATTTTTCAAACGGAAATTCATTTCAACCTTTAAAGTTGAAACCTTTTTTGGAACTTAAATATTCTTCATAATATGGAAATCATATACACGTGATTTGTGACATATGTGTATTAGTTATAGTGTTTGCTAAATTTTGATTGTGGTATGGACTTTATTTGCATCTAAGCAGAGTTGTCATTGATTTGCATAGACAGTGGCACACTAGTAGTTTATTTACTGGATTTGCAGAGGTGGACATAAGTTAGAAGCTGCTATTGAGCAACTGGGGGTGGATGTAGTTGGAAAGGTAGCTCTAGACTCTGGCTTGTCAACAGGAGGGTTTACAGATTGCTTACTGCAGTATGGTGCTGCTTTTATTTATGGAGTTGATGTAGGATATGGCCAGGTATTAGTTTTATACTACATATTTGTTTTAGTTTAGATGAGAATGCAGATATTGGCTTCTATTGTGTGTGCTACTAATAGGTACGTTCGTACTGCTTGCTCAGGTTGCTGACAAAATCCGC